GAGGTTTGGAGCTTTTTCTATCATTTGTATATTATGTTGTTATTTTTCTGTTTTTATTTCTTTTTCAGAAAAATAAAAATTTCAAAAATGTTTTCATTATTTCTGTTTTATTTGTTTTTCAGAAAACTCAAATTACAAAATATTTTCTTTGTTTTCACTTCTTATTTCTTTTCATAAAATTATAAAATACCACAAATATTAGATAACTGAGCATGAATAAAGGTACATATTCATCAATACACTCAATTCTAAATGATGGGACAGGTATAAATTCAGAATCTTTGAACTAGTTAAATGTCCCTAGAGGCATGTTGTTGCATGTTGTCCGAAGCTTCACAAACTCTATGTTCGAAGCCTTAATAAATCGATAATACCAATCGTTTCTTCCCAAATCAGGCTAAGAATTCACATAAGTCAGGTTCTACCTTACTCTTCTCATATTGAGTTAACAGTTGACTCCTTGGTCACTTTCACATAGCAGAGGTACATTTATCTTCTGAACCACCTCCCACTTATTCTCCATCTCATTCGCATTCATGAAAGTAACCCTTAAGATTTTCAGAATTTACCACTAAGCTTTATGGTTATACAAATTCTGTGTTAATGATCTTAAATTCGCTATCACCCCGAATTTAGTGAAACCCAAAACCCAACACATATATATGAGTTGACGGTGAACAAGTAATATGTTCTAGATTAATCACCCTTGATTTAACGAAAAACCACCTTCGTGGTTAGTACCATGAAATCTCCTTTTATTTTTGCGAGAATCATAATGGAGTTTTATAGACCTAAGACATTTCTTCCCATAAGATCCAAATTTTTTTTGGAGATTTCCATATTATCCAACCTCTCAAATTTTATCCAAAGCATACTTATTCTTATGACTACACTGGTCAGACAAGTACTTTATATGAACGTTCGTACTTATGTCAAGTTTTAGATTTCGCTTGAAGATAAAGCCACCCTTTCGCCTTATGAAAAGATACCTTTAATTGTTTCTCGTTAAATAGATGATCGTAATTCAACGGTACACCAACCAAGCATTTCAAAGTCTCTCTTGACTACGAAGGAAATGATCATTGTCTGGGATCCATGTTCTTTATGTCTTCAATGACATCACTAGAATCCCTTAGAATTTTTTTTATTTCATTATCTTTGGCACACTCTCGCACGAAGATCTTTATGATTTTCAAAAATCTGGTTCATTATCCTAATCATTACTTTTAGGGTTGGAGTACTGTAAATGGTGATCTATTGCAAAAGTTTGAACGTGAGAAAGTTAGCCACTGAAATGGTGGTGTTAAGGGGATAAGATTTGAATTTAGGTGCATGACAACCCCACCCCCCCCCCCCCTAAAAAAAATCACAACTATCACTCACTTCATTTTTAGGCGACTTTTCAGTAACTGGGTATGACCAAACGTCGAAATTCTCTCACTTAACAAACCATACAAAAGGATTTTGACGCTTCATTATTTCATTACCACTTTCAAAAAGAACTCAAAATTCTCAGGTGATTTCTCTCTACTATTCATCTTCTTCTTCATCAAGCAACAATGGCCGCCTCATTTGAAACCCCTTCAAACACAGAGCAAATGGCACAATCAACACTGCTAAACATCAGTGCAAGCTAGAATCTCATTCTGGATCTTGAGCCTACCAAGTACGACGCCTTTATTAAACCTCTAATTAAGTGCATGTGCTATTCACCACTGGTTATTTCTCTAAGAAAACAGAGGATGTGCCCTTAGTTCATATATCCAAGGCCTACTCAACTGCAAGCTACCAACAAGGGGAAGAGATCATCACTTTTGCAATCAGGACCAAGGAAACCCACATCATTAAGTCACAGTTCATTATCCTACTGGGTCTTCCTCAAGTTCGTGACCTAGTCGCTCCAGAATCCATCTCCAACTCTGCTATTTTGGGGATGTTCTACCAAATGGGGTACATTGAGTGTTTGGTTGTCATCTCCAAATTCAAGAAACCAAACCTCTTGCCTATGTGGAATGCGATGTTTACCCATATCTTCAAAAGCTTCTCTGAGAGGGTAACATGATAAATTACTGTTAGTAAGTTGTTTCTCACACTTATATACGATGTTTACTTAGGTGTCAATCTCAATTTTGGATCTATTCTATGGGCTTAACTTGTTCATAGCACCTTGTCTACCACACGGCACAATGAAATCTCCCGTAAGAGTTTTTGGACAATTATGGTTCAGAGGGGTATAGATCGCTGCAATATTCCGGTGATTGAGGGTTCCGCTATGGCTAAAATTGAAGTGTTTCACACTTCCAACATTATCTAGTCCGATATTTCATGGTTTTTGTTCATCGAATTTATCCTGGAGACAATGTTTCGCAATGTACCAACTGCAAGTGACATTATCCGAGCTTATCATAGTTTACCAGCCTCTGGTCCTCAACCCATGATCGATGCAGTAAAACAAGTTCTCATGGAGGCAGATAAACCAAAGAATTGAGGCAAGAAAAGAACTAATGCAGGACCTTCCGAACCTGCCCATACTCCAAAGAAGAAGGTAAAGCGAGCTTCTTGCAATCCACGAACTCCTACGCCAAGTGATCATGAAGATTCGGAGTCCAACACCATCTCGGAAATTCCTGAGCAAGTTCAGCATGAATCAGATGAAACTTCTTAGACTTCGTATCTGATGGTTTCGGATCCTATCAGTACTAATCTTAAGATCACATTCTCTATGCCTACTTTTGTTCCAACCACAAATGATTTTTTCCAAGATTTCTCTGTTCCTTCTCCCACCTCTACTGTTTCCACTCCCATCACTATTGCAACATGTCCAATTATGGGTGTTTTGCAACCCCAAGCTTCTCTTGCATAGTCCAATCCTTATTCACTACTTCTACAACAACCACAACCACTAGTGAACCTCCATTTTCTGTCAACGCATCTGATGCGAGGGTAGGTGCTTTCTATTTTACTTTTGGTTATGAATTGCATCCCATCTCACCTCTTAGATAAGATGATCTAGATACTAGTTTTGGGGGTGATGAGGATTGTATATATATATATATATATATATATATATATATATATATATATATATATATATATATATAATTTAAAGAGCTTATGACTGATAACTCCCTTAATTTCGTTTTCCTTGTTTGGATGTGGACTTAGGGTATCGGTTATTTATCCGAATGTCGTTTAAATTTTACTTATATATATATATATATATATATATATATATTTGTATATGTATATAAATATAAAGGTTATTTCATTCAGTTTGAATACCCTTTGTAACATGTCAAGCAAGGGGTTGCATTCATGAACAATTATTATCAATATAGAAAGTAAATATAAATTATAATATGTATAATTTATGATTCAAGAACACAAAGTTACAATTCAAGTATACTAGAGTACAGTATTTCACAAGAACATGGGTTTGCACTATTTTACATGAACAAGGGTTTGATTCAAAACTAAAGAAGGGTGTGATTCAAAACTAAACAAGGGTATACTACTAAAACTACATTTCAAGTATACTAAAAAAGGAGCATACTATCAATCATATTATTTCAGAATGATTGGGTTTTCACTACTATTATACACGTAACAATTATATGCTTTTTATGAGACAAAAGATTTAGGTTGTTTATTCATTTAAAGAAGATAGTTAAAGTCCTGATATTATAACCAGAATCTCCAGTCGGGGATCAAAACAAGTGTGTATAGATCTATATTGGGATTGACAACCCCACACTCAGACTGCTAGCTACAGCCAGACATCAACTCCTACGAGTGACAATTGTTATCAATAGTTTTAACGCCTTCAAATTGTTTTTTCAGGCCATCTAGTCATAGTATGGTTATAATAACTAATTAAGAAGATATTAACAATACAGTTAGTGTATAAATAACTAAACATGAGTACATTTTGAAAGTGCTAGTTTACAAAGATTCAATTTACAGTATTACATTACAGTTTACAATAACAACAGGTGGAGCCAGGCACACTCACTTTTACAAGTTTTACAAAGGAATACAAATACATAACAATGATTTATAAACAAAAAGGTTTTAAGAGATTAAAACTACTTTTCATATACAACAGTAAATATAGGATTTTCTGAAACAGTTTACATATTCAAGGAACATAAAACATACTTTGAAACTTAAATACTTATGCACTCACTCAAATTTATGTTGATACTCTCTTTCAAATTACTTGTATTCCCAGGGAATCAGTAGACAGGTACTCCTCGAGATTTTTAGAAGACGAAGCTATTTTGAGTCATGTCTTCTGTCTTTTGCTATAACCATTTTGGTGTCAATATACAATGATTGAACATATGTAAAAACTTATACTCAGTTATGCAATGGTTGTTTGTACTTTGATTACAATAATGCATGTGTTGTGATACTAGAAATGAAGTCATCCACTCCAAAGATGTTTATGCCATCTGGTTTGGGGGTGTGACACACGATCTTTGGTGGTAATGACGACGACTTCACAGGATTCACCTAGAGTCCATTTAACATTCGGACAAAAAGTGATGACAAAGGTCCCGTCACAAGAGGTCAACTCAAGGCCATAAATGAGAAACTCGATTGGTTGCTTCAATCATCCAAGGCTTCATCTTCTGAAGATTATTCACAAGCAACAATCAAATTGTTCCTTGAGACTCTTACAATCGAGTATTCCTACAACCTTGAAAAGACGAACAAGGTGGTAGATATTTCTGCTTCAAGGTACAATGAAAGGACCGAAAAAGTCGATAAACTAATTACAAATGCTGTTTTTTTATGGAGAAATTTCATAACTCCTTTGAGTCCAACACTGCGAAGGCTAATGAAGTGATTTCTATCCTGGGCTCAACTCTTAAAACCAAGAAGGAAAAACTTGAAAAAGTTTGCACTGGTATTCAAGGTGACTATGACGAGTTCAAATCCCCTATTTCCTCGAAGATCACTAAGCTTCATGAGGACTTAGCCACCGATAGCAAATCATGGATGCTCTGACATTAAAGACTGAGATGGTGAAAGTCTTAATGGTTGAGTTAGAGAATGTTGAGAAACAAGTCAGTGACCTGTTATCTGAAAAAGCTATTATGAAAAGTTGTATAGAAGATGTGAATGTGCTGCTTTCAGATATCAATGAGACTCGTGACTCGGTGATCATAATAACAGTTAAAAAGCATCTCTTAGAAAAACTCAGGCCAGTGTTTGCAATGGTCAATCGACTGGAAGGTGTTCTGGAATCATGCTTTATTCCGAAAACTGATGGTGAAGAAGTCAAACAATATAAGTAGGAAAACCCCAAGCCTTCAGTCAAGCCCATTGTCAAGCCAAAAAGTGAAACATAATCAAAAGGAAAAGAAAAGCTTTTCAATGAAGAACCAATTATCGATAACAGTGAAGATGAAGAGCCTGATGAAAATGACCTGAAAAGAATAAAGGAACGTGAAACTCAGATGGATGAGCATCAAAAAATAATTTACGAAGTTGAAGAGAAAGAAAGAGCTGAACACGAAGCTCAGGTGATGCTGGAAATTGTGACAACCCGAAATTTATATCTTGTACAACCATTTGACTCAATCGCAGTCAGACTTATTCCTGCTATCTTTTATCACTTATTAAGGTCTGTTTGAGTGTTCTAAGCCTAGTACATCAAAGGAATAAGTGTTAGGAAGTATCAACTGAAGTTCAAAACTAACAAACAAGCCATAAACCCCTTCATGAGGAGTTTACGACCAAGACACATGAGTTAACAGCCGTAAACTCATGGTGGCTGTAAAATCTTGGCTATATATATGATGCTTGGCCATTTTTCAACACTTTTTCCACTCCTAACTCAAGAACTCGGTTTTGCTCTCAACTACCATCAAGTTTTTCTGTTAAAACTTCTTAAAAAGCAAGTGTTTCCACCCCTTGATTAGTTTCTAAGAGCATCTCCCTTGGCCGTAAACCCTAGTTAGAGGTGCATTTGAGCCATAAACCCTTCTTAAGGCTTGGACTTAAGTCTATAACACTTCATTGGTGCTTCTAAGTCCTTAAAACACTTTTGGCACAACACCTTATGAGTTTACGGCCGAAAACTCATGTGGCCATGAACACATTGGCCTTAAACTTCTAGGGCCATGAACACATGGCCGCAAACACCAAGTGTGGCCATAAAACTCCCCTTATACACTATCATTTGTGATTTATACCTTTCCATTCAAGTGTATCTTAGTCCCTAAGGTGTTTCCCTTACCTGATTAGTTGTATACACACTAATTATATACATATATGCGCCATTATATTCTCTTTAGGATCTACCTGCTTCCGAGATTTCACTTAGCATTCAACATCCTTTCCTGATCTTTCAGTCAAACCACTCACTTCAGGTAAGTTCATACCCCTGCAATCAACCTTTTAGCTGTTTTAAAATGCTTTTAAGGGGGGGGGGGAGATACAAGTGAACACAATTGAAATTGTGTTTGTATAAACATTCATATACTTGCTAAACATCTTGCTGCAAACCATTTTCGAACTGCTTTTAAAACATTGTTAGACTTCTTTATAAAACCATTTTTAAACTACTTTTAAAACATTTTTAGACTTCTTTATAAAACCTTTTTTAAACTGTTTTTAAACTCTTGTCAAACTCTCTTTTACTTTCAAAACCATATTCATTTATGTATTAGTGTATAAGTATGCCTTAATGGACATAGGACTATTGTGGATAACCTTCACTCTTGTTCCTTGCTTGGTTGTGTCCTTAGGTAGGATACACTAGTCCAACTGTCGATTAACTCATAGTTATACATTCTTTAAAATGGTTTACTTAACTCAATTGTTCAAGCTGAGCAATTGAGCCTTTTCTACAAGTCAAGATCAAAACAAACATCTAGTAAACTATAATAGGTATAGTTTAGTGAACATATACAAACAACATAACTGAACATATACATATACATTTACATATACAAAGAACGGAAGTGAACATATACATGTACATTTACATATACAAAGAATAGAAGAGAACTTACAAATATACAAGAATATGAACAAACATATACATATACATAGACATATAAGTACAATAAGAATACGATAACATGAATGTGAAATACTACTTCATGGTACAACAATACATTGTTCTATCACATTTCTAACCAGAGTCTCCTGGAGGGAGAGCGGGCATCGTGTGTATAGATCTATACGGGACAAACACTCCCACACCCGACTGCTAGCTACAGTCCTAGCCGGTAAGGCCAAGGGGTGACAAAATGTCACCTTAGTATTATTATGACGCCGAAAGGTCGTCATTTATTCAGCCGTCAATCAGTATGGTTACAACTAATTCACATCTAAACCTTTAATTAACCAAATCAGAATTAAAGGCAATAAGATTCTCCAAGGAGTATAGTACATTTAATACAACTATGAGTCTTCATTTTTATCATTTCATATTAAGTAGTGTCACTGCTAAGATAAAACATTCGATTTTTCCTAATAGATAATAGTAATAAATGGGAGAAAACACACTTTTACACAGATATAAAGCACTACTATATTTTTCCATACTATTCAAAGTATATATGCAAACATGACACTTTTATACGAGAATAAACATGTAAAACAGTCGGGCCTCGGGTAGAAGGCTACTTTAATTACAAAGCAGGAAATATAGGATTTTTTGGTGAAAACTTTACAAACTTTTCAAGGTTTTAATACAAACATTTCGAGGTTTTTAATTACTAAATTGAACTAAACACTTATGAACTCACCAGCATTTTATGCTAATACTCTCTTTCAAAATAACTTGTATTCCCAGGGAACCAATAAGACAGGTACACCCGTGCAGCTTTTGAAGGATGGAGCGGACTCAAGACTCGTCATTATTTTGATTATAAATTTTTGATGTCATTTCAACTTTACTGAAGAACACACATGTATTTAACTATTGTATTAATGCAATGGATGTTGTTGCTTACTTTACTATTATACATTGTTATGATACTCTACATGACGTCCTCCTCCCCCGAATGTTTCCGCCAATTTGGTTTGGGGTGTGATAGATTGGTATCAGAGCATTGTTTATAGTGAATCGAGTATATCAACCCAAAAAATATATATAAACTATAAACACAATGGGATTAAAATACTCTGACCAAGAGTTTATACTTTTAAATAAAAAAATATTTAACTAAGTATACATACATGCATTCATACTAAGGTCAGTATCATACTAGAACAGAAAAAAGTATTACGATTGTTGAACAACACAGGTAGTCTTGGGGATGTAAGGTCAGTTCTGGGAACGGCATAGCCTGATCAACTATGTCAGTCCGAGAAGTGATTAGCATATGCCCAAGAATGGTTGTGATGTTGCAACAAGTCTAAAAACTTACCAACACTACTATAGGAGTATTTTGTGTTACCATAATTACTTGAAAAGCAATAGCCTTAAAGATGGGAATGCAGGTATTTTGTGTTACCATCATTAATACTTTAAGAACTAAATGTCTTTATTAGTAGGTCAATAGTTTCTTAGTGGATACACTAAGGTTTTATGTGACTAAGATATCATAGACTTAGAATCTGTGATATTTTCTTTACTTCTTATTGCTTGTTTGGTTGTGGATTTAGAGTTAGGATCGCTTATTCAAAGGTCTATCCTGTTTTGATTACATGTAACTGGTATGCACTTAGCAAGGATTGAAGTAACTAATAAAGATTATCCTATAATTATCTTACCTAGTACGTCTAATAATTTTTCTTTTTCCCCTATTCTCGCGTAGATAACATAGTTGGCTTCCATCTCCCCAGCGATCCGTACTTTCCTAACCAAGGAAATGGTTGATGGCTCGATGATGAGCCAGAGGAAGAACCTGCAATCCCTTTAGATGATGACTTTGCTGAAAATTTTTTGGAGGATTCTGACTCCGATCCCGAAGTCAGTAATCTACCCCCTGTGCTCCTGTCCCAAATCCTAACCCTCGTCCGGCTTTTCAAGGCCCGACGCCTTCGTGGGTGGAAAGCTTGGAAACATGGAGTCAAGAGCAGGATCAACCCATGCAACTCAATGGACACAGAAGGTTCTACGACCTGAGCGAAGGAGGCTCAGCAAACAGGGTCCTGCCAATTCTGGTCTGCAAAGTTGCTCAAAACGAAATACAGGGTAGGACAGCCCTCAACCAGATCATGGAGGTGGATGCCAATGTGAGAATGCATACAATCCACACCATTCATCTTGAAGATGCTTGCAAGTGTTCTATGAGAGACAACGAGGCCCTATAACAAGAGGTTGCTGCAACTCGGGCTGAAGTCATAGAACTTCGAGTATGCCAGAGGATTTATGAACACCCGAGGGGTACCCATCACCGGTGTTCTTTAATGGAACCGGAGGAATTATTGTGCTGTATTAGTGGTTCAAAAGAATGGAGTCGATCTTTGAGATTTGCTCTGCCCCGAAGGAAGCAAAGTAAAATTTGCTGCCTACACCTTCTCTGAAAGGTCCCTTACATGGTGGAATGACCATGTCAAGTCACTCATGCTGGTTGTGGCTAACGCTATGGGCTGGGAGACACTGATGGATCAAATGACAAACGAGTACTGACCGAGGGCGAGGTGCAGAAACTCGAAGAGGAATGGTGAAGCCTTAAGATGAAGGGCTCCGACATAGTGGCCTATACAGCCAGATTCAGTGATCTCATGACCTAATGTCCAAACATGGTCCCCACCGAAAGTAGGAAGATCGAGAGATACACTTGGGGTTTGGTACCGCCGTATCAAGGAAACGTTCTGGCTTCGAACCCTACGACTTTTGGTAGTGCCAAGAAATTGGCTCAAAGGCTTATCGATCACGCGGCTCCTCCTCCGACAACAACTACAACTGCTCTCTCAACACCAACCAAAGTAGTCGACATTAAGAGGAAGCGTTGGGACCGAAATTAAAGCAAATCAGATCAAACATCTTCCAAGAACCAACAGGTTGTGGTTGTCCGTGCTGCCACAACCCCTGTTGCCCCTGTACTAGCAAAGCAATATGCAGGGAGTCTACCCGAGTGCACTAAGTGTAATTCCCATCAGAAAAGCCCTACCGGGAAATGCACTTGTAACAACGCAAATTTTCAAACAAAATTTTCATTTCAAATAATAGAGTATTTTTATTCAAACTAAATATAATTATTCCAGGTTTTAAGTCGAAATACAAATCATAGAATTCCCAAGATCTCAAAACATCAATCAGTGTGTACGCATCATGCCGGCGCCTTCCCACGGTCCTCGCTAGTACCTGAAACACATACATAACAACTGTAAG